ACTTACTATATTGTTCTCTGTACTTTTATGTGTTTAAAATTTAGCAACAAAAACTTCATAGTTAATTATGTTGCACACTCCCAGTTAATTACCATTACTTTAAGAGAACCCAACCTTTAATAAGCTAATTTTTAAATGCTGCTAATGAAAATCGTTCTGAAAAGTTCTGGTGTTCTGTACTTCCCAGACTTAATAAGGACAGAACTTAGAAACATGATTTACTCTTTAAAAGCAATGAGGAAGAAGGAGCACAGGGTAGGCAGAGAGGATGAGAGCGAGGAGCCAGCAGATGACTGCTAAGAGTCATGCAGCAGCCCCAGGGGTGTAGACCAGCCTGGCTTGGCTCATGCCTTTCTCACCCACTCTTACAGCAGCCTGGGAATTGGTCTCCCTACCTCCAGCTTGGCCTGCTTCACTATCCTCCAAAACATGGCTGGCGAGATGGTCCCGAAGTATACAAATGAATCACCCCACATACACAAGGCCCACAGACCTGGGCCTCCGTGGGATGGCCCAGAACCTTTCCATTAGGCTCCTCTAGTCTCACCACATGCCTCCAGCTGATGGCATTCTTCATGGTTCCCCAACGCCGTCCAACTGTATGGAAATTCTCTGCCTTCCTCTATGCTCAGCTCTAAGGACATGTCCTCCACGAAGCTTTCTTTAATTTCCCCACTCTCAGGACTTACCATGCTTGTCACTAGGTAGCCTTTGCACTACCCTATTTAATGTCTACTGCAGAGACCCCTAGCTGTGGACAACCCACTGGAAAAATGACAGAAAAGTTTAGTGCGCCTCAAGAACACAGACTCTGCTTATTCAACTGTATTTGCCCAGCATCTCAGAAGGGGCCTAGGACACACTAGGTTCTCAATGAAAAGTTACTGGACTGAATTAAGTAATCATTTCTGCACTTTTCATGTTCATATCTATGTGGAAATCTTAAACTTTCACGAGAACAATTTTTTCTTTACTAAAATTAAAGTCTACATATTTAGGCAGTGCTCTAGGCTACAAACGAGCACTTTGAGAATCACTACGTTTTAGCAGAGGCATAAAGCTGACCTTTAGAACTTAATCTAACAGATTTTTTAGAGTAACTTTTGTAGTCAGAATGACTTCATCTATCACTGTGACATGAAAATGACCACTTTCTCCTCGAGTCTGTTTTAAATCTTTAGAGAAACACAGCTGAACTCAGAAACGACAGAGCTTAGAAACATGAACTTTATTTTTATATTTTTATTTTTTGAGCTGGAGTCTCACTCTGTCGCCCAAGCTGGAGTGCAGTGGCACGTTCACGGCCACCGCAGCCTTGACCTGCTGGGCGCAGGCGATCCTTCCACCTCAGCCTTTCAAGTAGCTGAACTACAGGCGTGCGCTACCACACTCAGCTAATTTTTTTATTTATTGTAGAGATGAGTTCTCGCCAAATTGCTCAGGCTGGTCTCGAACTCGTGAGCTCAGGCAATCCTCACCTCAGTCTCCCAAAGTGCTGGGATTATAGGCGTGAGCCACCATGCCTGGCAGAAACATGAACTTTAAATGGGACACACAGCCTGTCCTGTAAAGTCTCACACTGTCCAGTGTGAGAAGCAATTATCTCCTTTTACCTGTGTCTAAAGCAAAAAAGCAGGTAGTTATTCAAACCTTTTTCAATGAAACAGTCAAAGGGGCCGTCACTAAGGATTCAAGAGAGTGAACTTCAATTGGAAACATGAGTTTTGCTGCTTAAAAAATGCTGGGAAACCACCAGCATTCTTTAGCATTCTGCCACACCCAGGGAAGCAAAGAGTAATTTATCAGCAAGATAGCTCACAAGGAAGCCACAACAGGCAGTGGTCCCGGGTATGGGTAAGCCACTTTCTAGATGCCATGGAAAGACAGGAAAATGCAAGCCTGGCTTCACGGGAGGACCGTGAACTTTTGTCTACCCATTTGAGGCCTGAATTTGTGGAAAAGTGGTGACCAGCCTGGCTGAGGCAGAGCCTGCATGGACAAATCTTGGGATAATCAGCCATCAGCCACCGTCTGCAGGAAGCCTTCCTACATCTTATCGAGCAAAGCACAGCATCTCTTGTAAGCTTGGATACTTCCTGTTACTCCTCCTGCCCAGAAGCCAACCCTATTGTCTTTTGGGATGACCTCAATTTTCTGTAGCGAGTTTATCTCATTAGCTAGCATGGGAGGACAAGGAGATCATGGCTATCAGCCTGACCCTATGATGACCTCAGGAAAGATGTCTGTCCCTGCTTCCTCCAAATGTGCTACCAGACTCCAGAGCTAAAGACACTGTGGATGGAGCAATGAGACCTACCTGTCCTTCAAGACCAACAGACCTGAGCCCATATCCTGGTAATGGCTGGCTAGGAAGGCTAAGATAAAATGTCCATGGGAGGCGTGAAGGCAGCAAAACACCTCCAGCAAGCAGGTGACAACCAGCCACAGAAGTTCCGCAGCCGGGACCATGTCACCTGCAGAGTACAGATGATCCTCACAGTGCCAACCCCAAATTAAGTCCACATTGTGACCAAGGGCTCAAAGTTAAAAGGTGAATGCCAAGTGCAGGGTTGGTAGCAAGGGCTGAATGCCCAGCTCCAAGGACCATGAGGGGTGACAGGTTATACACAGGGTAGGTACAGTGTGCTGGCATGAAGCCTTCTCCTTGAAAACAATCTCCCATCTCCACTAGACAAAACCCCATCTGAAAGGGTAATTGGTTCAGGATTCAAAAAGATCTGAGGTTCAAGTTCTGACTTCACCGCTTTCTAGGTAGGCTTGGTGACTTGTGTCAAGTCAATCACACTCTCTGAACCCCAGTTTCCTTGATACTATGCCTCAAAATCAAAATAGCATAACTCACTTCACGGTAAGCTTCAACAAGAGCACACGCACAAGATGCTCTGCATTACCGTCACTCCTGCATCTCAGTGTCCAAACTCAGAAGTGCTTTCTCCACGAAGTTCACCCCTGGAGTTCCTCCCACACTGTACCTGGCTCTTTCTGCTAACAGTCACCCACCTGGGCCCTTCTAAGTCACATGCCGCTTGCCACGGCCAGTTCCTTGAATAGGCCTGCCAGGATGAGCACCATGTCTGGAACACTCTCCCTGGTACTAGCACATGGACAAACAAAGGACTCCATTTTTCCAAGAATAATATAGTAAGGAAGAAGGGAAGAAACTGTAAGAAGATGGAGGTGGTCCTGGGAGCTTAAATGCTGAGCCAGTTGCTACCCTCCTGCTTCTGTTTCTTTCTCCCCCTTGTGCCTGCCCCAAAGGACAATGGGCCAGGTCTGAAAGTCAGGAGGAAAGTCTTCTTTATTTTTGAAGAACAAACACAAATTCACTGTATTTGTACGTATGGATACATATAAGGCAATAGCAACACTGTTTCTATGGAAGAGCATACTTCAAATCACCAAGTGAGAAAGAGAGTGCTCCTTATAGCCCATGAAGACCCCCTTCTAAACATAAGTGCTTTATTCATCGCTGCTAGGTCTTTTGGTCTTGTGAGTCAAAAGGAAACACACAGACAGTGCAGAAATAGAGCAATTCATCACATGGCAGATGAAAACACAAAATTGATATGTGTCAACTTCTTTGTACATCATTAATTCATTAGCTCAGAGAAACTAGGAACAGAGGCAGAACTTGAGCAAACACTGGGGTAGTTACATCCATATAGAGAGTACTGCACCTTTGGTTAAAAAGCAGGTTCTACGGAGTTATCTTAGTCTTCCAACTGCTCAGCCAGTGCAGCTAAAAGCCAGCCACCATCAGCCACACGTGCGAGCGAGCCAGCATGCTGCCCACTGCAGAGGGCACACCAAATGCTCCTTCCTGATTGCTAGTCCTATTCCACAGCCAGCCTTGTTTGCATAAAAAAAGTTGAAGGACTTTGGGAAGAGTCCCAGTGTTCACCACTCAGTGCTGTGAAATTACACTGGTTTTCAGTTCAGAACAAAGGCACAAATTTAATTAATGTATAGAAAAATAATCAAGACATAATTCAAAAAAGGGCACATGGGAAAGGCAACAATATGGGCTAAAAGTTATTTTTTATTATAAAGCAAACCTCCTCCATGTAAACTGTAATCTTTTGCATTTCTAAAAACAGGGCATTACAGAAAAATAAAAGTCATGCATTTTTTTACTGCAAATTTTAGAAAGGAAAAAAGGAGAGAGAACTTATATTTAGCAAATTATCAAAGCCCCCAATTTTGCTATGAAATATATTTTGAGATTGGAAAATGGGAAACATGGAAAAAAGATTTTGAGTAGATGAAACTGCAAAAATGGGTCTGATCAAGAGCTTTCTCATTTCTAAGACCCATCTCTTATTTTTAAGGTTACTCCTCAAAATTTCTTTTAATAAGAGAACCATTCACTTTTAAAAAAAAAAAAAGTACATATATATATGTATATATTAAGCAAAATGTAAGAAATTTGGCCGAAAATACTGTGTTGGAAGAGACATACATGAAAAAGACAAATTTTTAATAAGTATTCTTGAAAATAAATCAAAATCACAAATTAAAATAATTTCTAAATTTTTGTAAAGTAATTTCAAGACCACTCTGGAAATGACTTTTAAAATAATGTCTGCATCGATCTTGTATCTCTGAACTTTTTTTTTTTTTTAAGCTTTCCCAGCCCAGGGCTGCTTGGTGGACATTTGAAAAAAAAAAAAATCATGTTTCTGTGCTGAAAAGTTATCAAGACCAGCTCTCTGCTGCATTTGCGTTGTTATTGGGAAAACACACACACACGCACACACACACACACACACACACTCATGCATGCACGCGCACGCACACATTGAGTTTAATGTGAGGCTAGTACAGAAACAGAGAGATTAGACACAAAGAAATGTAAACAGCTCTCACATGCAAGGAAACTAGGTTACGAGAATCCCAGCACCAGGCATTCACCAGTCACCATGGAAAACAGGAAGTGAGATGCATAGCAACCACAAGCCAAAAAGCAGAAAAGCGCATACCTTTAGCTTGGAATGAAAATCACGAGATTTCCTTCTGGCAAGAACCTGAATGTGACTAGACACCTGCAGGGTAGGGGAAGGGAGGAAAACAAAGGAAAAGCCTGTAACCATGGAGATGAAAAGCCCCCTACAACTGGGCAAGCCAGACGTACCTTAATGGCGGCTTGAATTTCTCGAACTTTCTTTCTTGCTAAGACCTGTATATGACTAGACACCTACATTGTTCGGGTTTATAAGGGGAAACAAAACAAAACAAAACAAAACAAAAAAGGAAATCAAATATAAAATCGCTACTCCTTGGGAGGGTTTCGGGGTGGGGTGGGAGGGGTGGTTATTTGCATCTCAACAAAGCTCTGCAGTTAGGAATACACAGTCCCAGCCAGACACAAGCCCCCAGCGCCGCTCTAAGCTTTTCATACTGGGTCATCACTGCAGTGACTTGATTCAGGGTGAAAGTTTAGGCTCATCTTCGTTTTCCCACCCAGGAGAAATCACGGGTTCTGGGAAAAACTCATTTAGGGACAGATGAGAGGGGCTTTTCCATTCTAAAATTAAAAAGGTGGGGGGTAGAGGTAAATGAAAATATTTATAGCTTCTCAGTATCAGTAGGGAAAATCCCTTTTTCTCAGTTTAGAAGAGACTTCCATAAATTAGCACATTCTGCACAATCAAAAAGCTGAAGCTGTCGGTTGTATTCTGATCTCATTAAGAGCTCTGGATTCTGTAGCAAATGTTAAAATAATACTGACATGTAAATTAGATCTCAAAGAGAAATGGAAAGACCCAGTTAGCAGAGCTTTTTTTCCCCCCCTTATAAATATCTTTAATCCTTCCACTCTTTTGGGTATTGACTGGGCGCCAAGTGGATTTGCATATTATTACAAAGCGAAATGTGTGAATACAGCCAGCCAGCCATCCTGTTAAAAATCTGGGTTGAAAACCACACGGATATGCTGAACAACAAATTCACATTGGAGAGGTATCACCAACTGCTGCCTAAAAACATCCCCAGGATGCCGGGGTGTGGAAACTTAGCCAAGCCCGGCTTCTGAAACACAATGATTCCACTGGGTAAACAAATTTGCATCTCTTTCAGTGGAACTTGGTTAAATATAGAAGAGTCCCCTAGTGAAGGGGTCACTGGGCAAATAACCAGAGCTCACAGACCAGCAGACAGCTCAGGTCCAGCACTTTCAGTGTAGGAGATTAGATCCGTCATTTCAGAAATTTAGAACCTTCCACTTAAAAGTTCAGCGACTCAGACTGTGTGGTGATTACCTCATCCCAAACTCTCTTGTGACTCTAAAACAGGATTTATGATAATAAAAGATCCTTTTATCTTTAACTTTGTCTTTGAGCTTCAATTATTCAATTATTTTTTTTTTCCAATTTGCTTTTGTACTTTTTTTTTTAAAGTACAGAGAAGCAGAAACTCCCCCCATCCTCTTCACCCCTCCATCTGGCTCCTGCTGTTACTTGTTTTCACCCGAATTTTGTTCGTCTGTGATTCTCTGACTTGATGAGGGCCACTGTCAGGGGGGAGCATCCCCCAACCAGACAATGCTCTGCCTCTGTGCACTGGCAGGAGGCCACTTCCCTTTGTGCTGACTCAGCAGCCAGGCGCCCAGGCTGTGGCACATGTGACATTCCTGGGGGCAAGCCTCCCCCATTATGAACACTCATGAAAACAATTCCTCACTGGGAAGAGAAGTGCAATTCGCTGCTCAGTCTTCACGAGACCACAATTTAGCTTGCCTTTTGGCTTGATTACAGTTTCCAAGGTTCGTGCTGTAGCATTCAGCATAAATCAACATTAAAAAATAATTTTTTTCCTGGTAACAACTCACCCATGAGGGTGTTTTTTTTTCTCTTTCTTTCTCTGTTTTTCGCTAAACAGTCATTTCTCATCCATTCCGGTTCTGCACTGGGTCATGTCAGAGATTTGGGGTGCTTTTCAGATGTATCTGAAAAGATTGGGGAAGGCAGAGCCCTGACAGAGGGCAGACGATTTCTGATTCCGTTCTGCACAGAGGTATTTAAGCTGTAGCTTCATTTTAGTCACAGCAGCTACTGACAAAAAGCCATGGCTTGAGAAGCCACAGTTCCCTGGACGCACATCATTTTTTAGCATTACGTTCAGGCCAGTACTCAAGGCTGCGAACGTCACTTTTCCATTGAAATGATCACTAATATGTAGTCATTCCAGGAGTTTACGATGCACAAAATCCCAAAATTTCATGGCTTACAAGAAGTGCATTCACACCTGCGGCTTCTGCAACGTTGGCAGATGCACATTTTGGGGAAGAAATGCCAGCTTTGAGATATACACAGGAGCAGCTCATAGGCTGTCCTTAGCAGTGACACTTTCCACAGGAGCATAAAAAGAACTCACAAGACCGCATAATACAGGGTCACTGAAATGATGAACAGTGAAAACTGAGCCAATTTAAAACACCTCTAACACTGACGTCCTTACAGGGAACTCAAACTGGGGGCTCCTCGGAGCCAAAGCACAGCCAGCCACTGCAGCCAAAATGCCTCCGTGGGCCATTCGCCGACATGCACCATTTCCAGGTGGGTTATTTTTACCTGCTTTCTGGTCCTCGTCTTCCCTGTCCTGAGTTTGATGTATCTGGCTATTAATTCATTCCTACCTGAAAGGAAGAAGAACAATTTACTATAACAAGGTGGGTTATTTAAAAAAAAAAAAGTTCCTTAAAACTAGAAATAGAATTCACAGTCAAGAATTGTCAAGTTGCAGCTATGAGTTTATTAATGCTAGAAAAATAAAACAGCACAGTTATTTACAAAAATGCATACGAGGAAATATTAAGGTGAAGGGTATTTAATTTTGAACTTAGACCAGCATTTGAGGATAGATATGTATCTTTTTAAAATGTGCCTTTTTGTTTGTTTATATACTTGTACCTAAATGGGTAGGTGATCACTCATATAAGCAACAAAGAAGGATTAGTCTGGGAATAAACAAGTCCAGTTCTGTTCTAGTCTTCTATTTTTCATATTCATATTCATATTTGTTTTTGTTTTTCATCTCACCCACATTCCTACTCACACATGGCTAACTTCAGTTAGATCATTATAGCGACATGAGAATGAATGCTGTGGTCACGGAAGCCCAGTGACAATCAGAAGCTAAGAGTGTGAACACAGATACCCCCTCAACCCCTCCAAGCTTTATAGCCTTTTGGGGGGGAAATGCCTAAAAGTACTAACCAAAATCTTCCATCCCTACCCCACCAAGAGACTGAGACATCTCAGATAACCAGACTTCAAATAACTATAATATAATAGGAAAACATATCCCCAGAAGCTAAGCAGAGAAAGTTATTTCTAAGACATTGAGTGAAATAAAAACAAAATAGGGATTCTTCTAAGCAGGTCGTATATACGACTTCAATTTGCTCTAACACTAGTAACTGAAAACATTTTTGTATAATCTATACAGCAAACAGAAAACTGTTTCATTGCCCTACTTTTGACTAGCTTTATGTCAGCTCTATCCTCGCGAAAACTTGCTTTGGTGGAGAACAAGTTTAAAGTCTGATGCTGTGGCATTCACTCACGCGCTTCTCCAGCCTGAGACTTCGGAGTGAGATCCCACTTCTTCAATGCCCCACTTCCTTGGGGAAGGCCTCTCCTATGCTTCCTTCAGGGAAGGCTTCTCTAGTCACCTGCCTGGGTTCAGGTGCCTTGCTTCTCCACTCCCTGGGCCTCTCTTTCCTAGTCTGTGCCCAAATGGTAACTCCACTCATTACCGCAGTTAGTTGTCACTTTGTGTTTGTTTCTCTTACTTCTTCCCAGACATCCTGGGAAAGAGGGGAAGACCTCTGTCTTGTTCCCCAGTGTCTCCCTAGCAGCCCGCACCCTGCTGGACATAGACAAGGATTGAATGAGGAAATCCCACAGCCTCTGAAGACAGTGACCACATCCCTCAGATCTCCCCTGGTGGAGGAATGACCTGGCAACACTCATGAGGACCAGTGCCAAGATGTCCTTATGGAAATCTTGTCTGAGAATTCCAAAGGCTCTTTCAGCACTGCTTGGCATGTTCCTAGGGTCGTGGCCCTTTCTATCACCTGTCAGAGCTGGGGCTATACAGGACACTGTCACCACTGGAAGGCAAAGGACTCATGAAATCTTGGGGATTAGAAAGTCTTCAGGAGCCTAAGCTAGCATTTCTAGAATTGAGAACAAAGCTGGTCCCTTAGGTATATGACTGTCTTTTAGATGTTAAGGACAGCTTTCATGTCCTCCTAAAGTCATACACAAGCTAAACTGCCGTTGTCTTCTGTTAAGCTTTGGAACACTCCCATACACCATTCTCTGACTATCCTTTGCTTATTTTCCTTTCGGAGCTTGGAGTCCAGAACTGTAGTTGTGCTCCTGCTATGACAGCAGAGTGGACTTACCACCTCCCTCATACAAAATATTCTATCTCTGTTAATGCAGCCTAACCTTGTTTCAGACTTTTAAGGACTACAATAAATTGCCAAAATATGTTAACTAAAACTCCTAGGTCTTCTTCCTATAGGTTATTCCCAGACACATTTCTATTTCAATCTTTTCATGCATAGCTGAGATTTTCAGACTTAAATATATTTCTACTTCATTTTATCCTGTTAGAGGCAGTCTATCATTTTAGCCTGTCAAGATCCTCTTAGATCCTTATTCTGTGACTTGAACCCATATGCTACAGGTAAAGGACCTCTAAATTCAGTTTGGAGAATTGCTTCTCTCAGCATTCTCTTTCAAACTTTTGAGAATGACCAATATCCCCTGTAGTGTCATTGGGTCTACTTCTCCATCTCTCAGATGGTTGTAGAGATTTTGCAATTTGTCTCGAAGGCTCACCGACAGCAGAGCCCAGCTAGGAGTACCTAATTACCAGAAGCCAGACCTAAATGACAATGTCTGCAGACAGCCCAAGCATCCTCCAGCTCAGGGCCTCACTGTGCATCCTGTTCAGGGCTGTCTGAGTGGCCAAAATGAAATAAGATCCAGGGTTCTGTATTATATGCAATTTATCTGAACCTTGTCCAGATGGCAAAAGTGTCTCCTGCCCTCAGACTTGCTTATTTTCTATGAAAACAGACTGAAGAGCTTGATAGATGTGACACAAAACCTATAGAACTAATTTTCAACTTCTTATGGCATTTGGTTACATGAATAGGATTAATATCCAAGACAGCCATGTTTGACTGTATACCCTGTAATCTATACAATGGTACCTCTTGAAATTAAACAATACCAACTCAAGTACAATCATGTGCCACATGACATTTTGGCTAATGACAAACCGCATACACACTGATGGTCCCATGAGATTATATAAAGGCATATTTTACCGTACCTTTTCACTGCTTAGACACACAAATACTTTTTACAGTGTTATAAGAGCATTTAGTATTTAGCACAGTAATAGAAGCAATAGGCTATACTGTATATAGCCTTGGTATATAGTAGGTTACACCCCCTAGGTTTGTGGAAGCATACTCTATGATGTTCTAACAATGACAAAGTCTCCTGGCGATGCTTTTCTCAGAATGTATCCCCATTGTTCAGCAACACATGACTGCACTTTTTTTTTTTTTTTTTGAGTTGGAGTCTCACTCTGTCACCCAGACTGGAGTGCAATGACAGGCTCCCGGCCACCACAGCCTCGACCTGCTGGGCTCCGGTGATCCTTCTAACTTAGCCGAAACTACAGGTATGCACTACCACGCCCGGATAATTTTTGATTTACTGTAGAGATAAGGTTTTGCCAAGTTGCCTGAGTGGGTCTCAAACCCGTGGGCTCAGGCAATCCACTTGCCTCGGCCTCCCAAAGTGCTGGGATTACAGGCTGAGCCACCAAGCCCAGCCTATACTTCTAAAAATTACAATTTCACCAGTCCCTAGGTGAGACTTATATGCTGAGCACTACACTACAACATAATTTCATGGAAAACTTATCTTAATTCTCCTGTCCTGGCTCTTTAGATGAGCAAGATCATCTTTCAAAGGCCTATGATTTCTTTCATCCATGTTTCAAGTCATGAATAGTAATTATTTAATTCTTGTAAATATTAGAATTATAAAATCCTCCTTTAAACAACACTTAGAAAACTAATACATTATCTTCAATGCTCTAATACTGCTTACAAATCTAGTAAGATTTCAACCCTGCCCCAAATCAATTACATCATTGTACATTTAAATTTGGAAACACAGGCTAATCTGTTACCTAGGCCAAAGTATTTTAAATAATTACTTGAAATTCAAATGGATATAAATCCTTTAAATCAAAAGTATTAACACAGCTGGGCTCGGTGGCTCATCCTGTAATCCCGCACTTTGGGAGGCTGAGGTGAGTGGGTTGCCTGAGCCCGCGGGTTCGAGACCCACCTGGGCAACTTGGCGAGACCTCATCTCTATAATAAATCAAAAAAATTAGCCAGGCGTGGTTGTGCACGCCTGTAGTTCCAGCTACTTGGAAGGCTGAGGCAGAAGGATCGCCGGAGCCCAGCAGGTCGAGGCTGCGGTGGCCAGGAGCGGCCACTGCACTCCAGTCTGAGCGACAGAGTGAGACTCCAACTCAAAAAAAAAGTATTAACACTACGGCTTTGATTAGGAAAAGATGTATGCCATTGTAAACAATTTTGGACTATCTTTTTGGCTGTTTTTGGGATGTGTATATATGTTACTGATATCAACTAGGTTCTGACTGGTCTTGTTGGTGACCTTGATTGGACATCTTGGGCTCTATTTATATTTCTTTAGCCCTGCCCTTCAAATGATGTGGATTTGTAGAACCCACAGCCCTGGATTTGAATTATGTCACCAAGGTACAAAATTTCCTAACCAAAGACCAGGAGACAGGGTAGCACCAGTCATCACTGATCAAACTGGAAGCGGGTCTCCAACCTACACAGCAAAGTCTTGTTCCACAGCCATGATTCAAATGGTGGGTATTAGAAACATCAACTCTCAGCTGGGCTCGGTGGCTCAGCCTGGAATCCCACGCTTTGGGAGGCTGAGGTAAGTGGATTGCCTGAGCCTGAGGGTTCGAGACCTGCCTGGGCAACTTGGCAAGACCTCATCTCTACAATAAATCAAAAAATTGGCACGCGCCTGTAGTTCCCTCTATCTGGAAGGCTGAGGCGGAAGGATCGCCAGAGCCCAGCAGGTCGAGGCTGCGGTGACCGGGAGCGGCCACTGCACTCCAGTCTGAGTGACAGAGTGAGACTCCAACTCAAAAAATAAAAAAAAAATTTTTTTTAATTAAAAAAAAATAAATAGAAATATCAACTCTCATTTCTCTAACTCTTCTAACACAAGGACACATTCGCACAGAGTGGTGCTTGACCCAGTAAACCTTACATTACAATAACTTTTAGCTGGGCACAGCGGCTCATGCCTGTAATACCAGCACTTAGGGAGGCTCAGGAGGGACAAATGCTTGAGCTCAGGAGTTCGAGACCAGACTGGGAAGCATAGTGAGACCACATCTCTGCAAAAAAATTTTTAAAATTAGCCGAGTGTGGTGGCGCATGCCTGTAGTCCCAGGGTCGCCTGAGTCCAGGAGGTCAAGACTCAGTGATTGAATCTTGTGTCTTGAGTCTCAGTGCAGTGAGCTGTGATTGTGCTACTGAAC